TTCTGCCCTCAGGAAAAATATCGATTGGGCAAAAGTCGCAGAGCCTATAATTAGACTGGCGATTTCTAGGTGGAAACAAAGAGAGTGGACGGCAGATATGCCATCAAAATCGATGATTTTCGCGAAGACCGTCTGCTGCGGTCTTGACTCAAAATGGGTTAAGGGCCACGGATTTAGTCTGCTAACGAGAGTGTGAAGTTCAGGAGGGCAGGTAGAGAACGGGTACTAAAGAGGGTCGATGATGTCGCATCGAAAAGACGCGAGGAGGAGTAGGGACAGAAGACAGAGAGAGAGGGGTGGAGGGTGGAGGAGCCGAGCATTGAGAACAAAGAGAGTGGAGGTTTAGGATTGATGGACCCGCGATGGATCACGACTTCACCTTTCGCCGAGCTTCTGGGGCACTGGAGCCACCAAAAAAAAAACACGAGAAAAAAGGGGGTCCTTTTCGATTTCCGGGTAGAATTTTGTCAATTGGACCTTCCCAGGGTCAATTCCTGGTTTCGTGATGAATCGGGCGGCTTGGTAAGGGTCCTCGGGAGGTCGTGGCTTGGGACTTGGCCCAGCCGGGAATCTTTTGGCGTCAGGGGTGCAGCAGCAGCAAAAAGACCAGTTTCTTGGCAGTCAGGGCAGTCAAGCTGGGGCGCATCAAGCTCGCCGGGAGCTCCTGCCGTTGTTCAGACGGTCCCTGGTGTCCCCACTGGCCCTGGCCGTTGCAGCCACTAAGAGCCGGCCAAAATGGCTAGCCAGGTCTTTTCCCTGTTTCACCAGCACGGAACCCTGCGGATGAGCCGCTGATCCCGGCCAATTGGCCATTGGCTGCGGCAGCCTCCGCCCAATCTCGAGCCAGTGGCCCCAGTCTTTGAAAATCTCTGGCATCGCCCCAGGGTGTAACGGCCACAGGGCGAGGGGGGCTAAATTTACCTCTATGGACGCAACATTGATCGGACAGCAACCCATTCAGTCGGGCCATCGTGATGGGGGATCTGCTCGAGCCTTGCCAACATCTCTCGGAAGGGACGATCATAACAGATAGGCTATACACTTTTTAGGAACCCAGTTATGTCGCACAAGTAACCCCAATAGCAATCTTTATCGACAATACTGTAACACAAGTACCACATGAAACAACTACGTGGGGCTCGACCTCCAGCCTGTGGCCAACGACCATATAGGGACGGGCATGGTCAGAGAAAAATCGCCATTAGCAATGAAAACAACATAGTGTCCGATCTGTTTGTTCAGTGGAACGTTCTACGTCAACGTCATTCGCTCTCGTCGATTTCTAGTGTAACGAAGAACGCAGCAGGATTACGATCTACGCAGCGATTTCCCTATCGCTAGCCCAGCAATCCTGCACTACGTCACCGGGGACGCCGTCTGTTGTTCTCCCTGACAGGTGCATTAGTCGGTGGATCAAGAATATCCACAGTTGTCAACACTGCCCGCTTGGTTCGTGTTCAGCGGAATTTTGCCGCCGCCGGCAGTCGCGGTCTTGACAAAAAAACAGGTACACCAAAATATACCAACGACAGTAAAGTCACCTAAAGAAGCCTTTTTTATTCCAACAAAATTCCATTCAATTTAGAGGCTCTTAAAAGGCTTTATGGCATTGTTTTAAGAAATTCGAGATCAAAATGGTAGAGAAAGTGGTTGTTGGATTTTGCCGATATTGACACTTTTTGTCACCCACTTGCGTGGGCCATTTTGGCTTCCGTCTCGCTGTAGAAAGGTCGTTCATTGGTTCCACCAACGTGGCAAACTGACAATGTGGGAGAGGCACTCGAAATCCTGTTGACCAGCAACTCACCGAGAACCGGGCCTCAAATCAGTCGAGTTTGTGTTCTCAGATTTGTGCAGGATAGCCATTTCTCATTGAGAAAGGGGACCGGCGACTGCACCCGGATGTCTCACACGACCACGACCGTATTGAGGCGGCCCAGGCAGTTTGAGGACCACTCGCGCATCCAAACGCAGTCTGCTGATTAAACCCGAGGAACTGGGTTTGGTTTCACCGAGTTGTTCGTCAATTGTTTTTCCTTGAAGGTATTTCAAATGTCTGACATTTGTCTTCACAACCGCTAAGTTCCATACCTATTCACCTATGTCGCTCTGATCTTGAACATCGGAGCCTCAAGTCCCAACTGAGCTACCCAACTAGTGCATGCAGCCCTATAAAGCCGTTGACACTGGTCTCTGATGCTCGCCAAGCTTCCAACAGGATACAATTTTGTGATTGATCGCGAACAGATGAAATTTTCAGATTCAGGTACTGTAATTGCAAGAAAACACTACAGAGGTAATTTAGAACATATTGTTCATCATACGAATAACACCGTCATGATGACTTGAACTCGGGCGTCCTGCAAGGAGGGGTAGGTAAGTGAGGTCGTAAGACGATGAGGGGTTGCATGCACTGTCCGCCGATGGTCATAGCTCCCTTGGGTCCCACTCAAAACCTCGACGACGATAGCTTCATGCACCTTACCGCATTCAATCTAATCATCCGATGTCTGCTATCACTGCGCAATTGAACACCAGAGGGCCAATTGCCCCAGTCGCCAGCTAAGCATTCCAGCATCGTCGTTCGTAATACCTAGAACCTACAGAAACCCTCTAAGCCGATAGCTGCTGTCACTGCAGCTCATCCGTTCGATGAAGCCTCTCCGAGCCGCGTCCGCGTCTGGGCCATTCACCTGCCTCCAATGCCTCGTCCACACGGGTAGACGTTCTCTCCTCCGCGCCTCTTCCTCCCATCTACCTCTCAGGATACCGCAGATATCGCGCGCAGCACTGCACTGCAGCTCCCGAATTCTCCAACAGCAGCAGCAACAACAACAACCCTCCCCTCCCGCCCCGCGCCCAACCACGGCGCCTAAGCCGACAATAGACATCAAGCACATCCGGCAGAACCCCGAACTCTACGCCCAAAACTGCCTCGACCGCAACTACCCCGCCGCCGCCGCCTACCCCGCCCGCATCAACGATCTCTTCGCCCAATGGCAAACCCAGCAGCGCGAGGGCCGCAGCCTGCGCGAGCGCGGCAACCTCCTGCGCCGGCAAATCACGAACCCAGGCGTGCGCCTCGACCTCAACGGCGGCGGCTCTCTTGAAATACCCGCGACAGCCGAGATCGAGCGCGACAGGGTCAGCTCGCTCACGCGCCCACAGCTGGTAGAGGAGGCGCGCGCCGTCAAGGTAGCGCTGAGCAGCATCGAGGAGGCCGAGGCGCGCCTGGCAGGCGAGATGGAGGCGCTCGCGCTAGCCATGCCCAACCTGACGAGCGAGACGACACCCCGCGGCCACGAGCCCCGCGTGCTCAGCTACATCAACGACCACCCCGAGCAGGCGCCCTCGCCGTCGGACCGCGTGTGGCGCTCGCACGTGCACATCGGCACGGAGCTGGGCGTGCTCGACTTCGCCTCGGCCGCGACGGCGTCCGGCTGGGGCTGGTACTATCTGCTGGACGAGGCGGCCGAGATGGAGCAGGCGCTGGTGAGCTACGCGATGGCGACGGCGACGCGCGCCGGCTGGCGCCAGGTCAGCCCGCCGAGCATGGTCTACAGCCACATCGCGGCGGCGTGCGGGTTCCAGCCTAGGGATGCGAGCGGCGAGACGCAGATTTACACGGTGGCGCAGTCGGCGGAGGATGCGGCGAGGGGGAAGCCGGAGCTGTGCATGGCGGGCACGGCGGAGATCCCGCTGGCGGGCATGAAGGCGAACACGACGCTGGACGAGGACCAGCTGCCACTGAAGCGCGTCGCCGTTTCGAGATGTTATCGCGCCGAGGCGGGCGCGCGGGGCGTCGATACCAAGGGGCTGTACCGCGTGCATGAGTTCACTAAGGTTGAGATGTTTGCGTGGAGCGAGCCGGATGCCGACGCGGCGGATGACCTGTTCAACGAGATGGTAGACCTGCAGACGGAGATGCTCGAGTCGCTGGGCTTGCACTGCCGCGTGCTCGAGATGCCGACGGGCGACCTGGGCGCCTCGGCGATACGCAAGTGCGACATCGAGGCCTATTTCCCGTCGCGTAGGGAGCGGAACGAAGGCTGGGGCGAGGTGACGAGCGCGAGCATCTGCACGGATTACCAGACGCGCCGGCTGGCGACGCGCGCCAAGATCGGGGGCAAGCTGGTCTACCCGTGGACGGTCAACGGCACGGCCATGGCGGTGCCGCGGGTGCTAGCGGCGTTGCTGGAGAATGGGTGGAACGAGGAGGAGATGTCGGTTACGATACCCGAGGTGCTGCGGCCGTGGATGGACGGCAAGGAGAAGATTGGCTCGAAACGGCGCCTCTAGAAGGGTTGAGTTGGTGTGCTCTCCGTGTATATCATGATGTCTGTATTATACATGGGCCCTTGGTGAATAGTAATGACAACCGCCAAGCATGAGCAGTGTCTGGGTCTTTGAATCTCATGCATCAATGTCACTGGCGCGGGAGTGTGTTTATCCAAGACGATTTAGATGCAACTGGCTTCCTGATAAGAGCAGTATAGCTGTATACACATCTATATCTGTATGATACTACATTCGCCGGTCCATTCTGCTATCATTTGGATATGGCAGAAATGAAAGCACACAAGTCACCCCTTTGTTCTCTCTTGCGCATGGCCGCCAGAGATGGTGGGGGCAACACGCACGACAATGCAACGACAGTTGACCATTCCTATTTATCCGCCTTTTGGCGAGGTAAATCCCATAACCCTTAAATACGCAACTGATCATCTCTAACCAAATACCAATCAGTCAATTCAGCACTGCAGCCCATCATCCACGCAATCCATTACTCTACGTTTGTTGGCCATAGTCATTTGACTGCATCCATCCCCGTCCATCCACTCCCTTTTCTATTGGCTTTTGGCTTTTCTATGGCGTCGCGCCTATCAGCTGCGTGGCTCCTGCTGCAGTCCCAAACAGCTGACCCCACTGGATGATTGACTCCCCGCCTGCTGTACCACACCTATAAATAACGTCAGTCTTTCGTTAAAATACCAACCAATGACAAGATGGCCGAGGGGTTTAAGGCGCCAGACTTAAGATATGTAACAACCATCCGTATTCTGGTATCGAAAGATGCGTGGGTTCGAATCCCGCTCTTGTCAACGATTATTTATTTAATTATTCTCGTTCAAGCTTTTTGCAACTCCATCATAACGAGAAATCCCACGTGTTCATTTTTGTTCATTTTGCCTATTCTTTCACTTCCGCGTTGGATTCAACGCCGCCTTTCGTATCTAAATACCTATAAATTCTTACTGCGATTATCGTATCGTTTTGAAACTACGTAGCAATTCCACAAGCTGTTGTCATATGACTTCAGGGGCACACGCCATAGGCATCACGGCATGTCATTGACACCCCGTTAGAGAGAAAGCATGGTGCAGAAAGAAGATCACAACCCTACGACAACGCCGACCGAATATGAGTCGATAGATTCTCACCGTTTAGACGTCGTTACCACCTACCACATCGACATGCAACTCTTTAACATCATTGCCTAAATAGATAGCCACGATGCTGAAGGATGTTGTCTGCCTAACCACATTACCATCCCAGAAATATAATGCATCACTACACTGTAGAAGCCACGGATACTCCGCTCATTCGGATATTGCAGTATTCAGTCACAGTTGAGGAAACAAGTCGCTGACGAGATCCAAAAAAATAGGCAAACACTTGTACTCATACTATTCTTGGTCCACATCCCGTCCGTAGAAAGAGCAGACTTAAACAGTGGAAAGCATTCAGGCATGCTTGTCGTCCAATATATACTATGTACGTAGTAAGATGTGATTCACAGACGTGAGTGGGAGGAAGGCAGGTTGCGTATACTAATATATAGAATTTTGGGTATCGATACAGTTTCAAGGCCCCTGGACCGATTTTGTATCGTCCAAGACAATATATTTCTCACATCCAAATTGACACATCCGATATGTTAACGAGAACCGACCACTCATGAGTGGCAACGATGTATACGTAACTGTTATGGCAATGCTGACCAGTCAACCACCGATTTCTATATCAAAGACATAAAGAGGCATGGACGAGACAGCGCCCTGCTAAACATGTCAAATTTCACTTCAACGAAAACACAAAGTCAGCCAACTAGGCACGTATTACTGGTAGCAGTTCTCTTGAATTTTTTTCTAAGTCAAAATACAAAACAACTAAGACTCGCCTCAATGAAAAACCTCATAAAGTATAAACCTCCTTTTTGGTATCAGCTACTGCCTTGGCTACCACTCTATCAAATAAAATGAGGCATATCGATGGATGGATTGATGATGGAGAGCGATAATAGAGAACCATCCATGAACGAATAAACAACTAAACAAGCAATAAGCAACGCCTCACCCCTCCTCCCCCAAATACGCCGTCGTCAACCAATCCATCAACCAGTCCTTAACCTCTCTCCCACCACTACCCCCGATGCACCAGCTGTTTCGACAAAATCATATTGACGCTCTCCCGCGCATTAGGCGTGTTCCAGATACTATCCCGGCCGCCCTTGCGCCACTCGTCGCCAGTTGCGTCCTCGCCGCCGCCCCTCGTCGCCTCGCCCATGATGACCTCGAGATCGCGCTTCTGCGAGCTGAGCCAGTTGCGCACAAAGTTGACGGGGTCCTGGGCCATGGACGTCAGGAACGTGTGCTTGGCCTTGGACTGGGCGACGCCCTGCACGATGGTGGCGAGCTGGTCGTCGAGCAGGCTGACGTCCTTGAGCATGTTTGCGTACTGCGCGCTGTGGATGAAGGGCACGAGCTTGGCGCGCAGGGGGTCGTCGACTGCCACGCGCACGTCGTAGACGGTCGGCTTGGGGTCCTTGTGGAACTCCTCGTCCACACGTATCGTATACGTGAGCTTGACGGGGGGGAGTGCCCTGAGGTGTTGGGTGATGTAGTCGTTGAGCATGGGGATGTGGCCGGCGTCGCGTTGGAGCACCTGGAACGAAAGTCAGTATTGCTATGCGCATGTCGAAAAGGGGGTGGAATAAATACGGACCTTTTTCAGTGTTTCATCGCATCTAAAATTCCTCTTCTCTTCGTCCTCCTGAAGCTTCATAAGCTTGATGTACTCAAAGAGCCCCATGACTGCCTCCTGGCGCGTGGCCTCCCGCATGTCGATGATCTCGGCCAGCTCGGGGCTGAGCTCAAAGCGCTCGGGATCTTCGTGTCTATAAAGGTTTATGGTGATGTTTGCGTTCTCGTCTCCGTTGCGCTTGAACGTGAGCTCGTCAAAGTCGGCAGCCGCGGGGAGATTAGAGCCGGCCGGCGTCCTATCCGGCTTCTTCCACTCGACGCTCGTATCCGCCCCAGGGCGCCCGGACTTCGGACTATCGAAGTCGACGGTCAAGGCCTTGAAAAAATGCGAGAATCTGTAGCGCTGGCCGGGCTTCGCAGGGATGGGCTTCGTCCTAGGCTTAACTGGCACGTCTGTCTCCATCTTATCGCCGTCCTCGCCGCTGCTCCCTGCCTTCGCGTCGTCCTCATCCTTACTGGAATCGTCTTCATCGTCAAGTAGGCGGCCTTCGATCTTGACGCGGTATGACGACTCGAGGTTGGAGGAGAAGTCGAAGCTGTTGATGCTGATGCCGATCGTCTGCCAGAACTGGTCTTCGACCGTGTTGCTGATCCATATGCGCAAGGTTTTGTATCGCTGAAGGGAGGAGCGGGTGGCGCATTAGCTAGGGCACAAGCAAGCAAGCAAGCAAAGCCAGCCATGGCGGCATCGTGATGGTTGTGACTGTGTCCAAATACCTTTGCATTACGGTTGACCGAGTCGACAATGTCTAGCCTCTTGCGTGTCATTGTGGCATCGAGGCGGCGCTCAATGTCGCGCAGGTTCTTGTAGGCGAGGGCAACGTCGCCCTCACCCACCAGGATCTCCTCGACGCCGTCGGGCAGGGCCTTGTCGGTGGGCTTCCGGCTCCGCAGCTTGGCGAGCATGGTGGCCGTCTCGCGGCGCAAGGCCTCTTGGTGCATTTGCGCCTGCGTCATGGGTACCGAGTGGTGCGGTCCGGCTGACATCATGGGGCCTGTTTGGGGGAAAGGGGGGAATGTGGGTGGTTAGAAGTCAAGTATAAAGTCTGGAGACGCGGGTCTGGAGTCGGGAATCTGCAAATTATGGCGCGCTGCGCTACTAGACCCGGCGGCGAGTGAGAGATTCCTGTGCAGGTAGGCTTTGGGGTGGAGCAGGTATCAAATCTCGGAAAAAGCGGAGTGGTAGTGTGTGTGTGTGTGTGTGTGTGTATAAATGGTGGATGGAGTCAAACCAGTGAATTCAAACTTGCCCATTCACTCCTTCCCACTTGAGACGGGGTAAGATGACAGGCAATTGACAGCGATTGGTTCCTCGAGAATAAAACACTGATGATGGATAGAAAATCAAAGCTCAAAAAAACTCACCAATGCCACCTCGGCGTTGTGGGACATGCTGTCCTCCTCCCCTCGCCGAAGGAGGAGGCACCTGCGGTGTGTATCCACGGTATTGCGGCTGCATTCTGGCTAGGCCACTTGAGTTCGCCCTACCGTCTGACAAGACATGCAAATCCGCTCCCCGGGTTGTCCTTGCCTTTTCGATGGGGTGATAGGGAAACCTGGGTCAGTAGTGAAGGGGGGTCCCAAAACCTTCGTTGGGGTCTTCCGGTCTGGCAAGCGCGTCCGTCGCGTCGTCACTCTGTGGTTTGACGACAGCTGGTGGAGTTTCTTGCAAAGTCAAAACTATGGGCCACACGCGCCTGCCCTGCCACTTTGCAGTTGCCGCCCCACAGCTGCTAGCTGGCCAGTCCCCAGCCACCACGCCACTAGCGCCCGTGTGGCCTCCAGAAAAACTGCGCTGGGCGGTACTTTTGCTTTGCTCACCTTTGCTCACCTTTATAGATTGACGCAGATATTTCTGGTCCAGATTTAGGGAGTTGTTATTTACGCATTCCAATACACCTGAGGTGTATCAGTTTCTAAGTAATTGCAAGTTGCATGCAAACTTCACGCTGTATTCATGGTTATACTTATGCTCCAACTCTTATTTCCTGTTCAAATTTAGAGTTGGCAAAAGTCCAAGCTTAGCTCAGCTCGGCTGCGTCATGTGACCATCCTCCGACTACTACCCGCCTTCCCCCCTTTTCACCGGAAACCAAGTCCTTCGCGTCCAAAGATTGCAACTTGTCAGGAAAGGATATGCATTTTATGAACAATACAAGGAGAAAATTCTCTGCTTAGGGAAATTCAAAATCGTTTACTACAAATTGGAAACGAATCACGATTCTGACCAATGCAGCTACCGGACTTTACCTCCCCACAAAGCCCCTTTTCTCCGGAGCAAACAACCACAATACCCACTAACTGTCATAAGCTCATCAAGCTGCACAAATCTCTGCTCAATGTCTTGGTTGAACGACTCAAATATTGATACATAACCCCCGACCCGCACTTAAAAATCGGAGTTCATTGCAAAATGCTCCCGTATCAAGTTATAATGACAAGCAAGAGTTTAAAGACGAACCCACGCCACGCTACCTGAAAGTGAAAAAAGAAAAGGAGAAAAAAATGCATATTATAAAAGTGCTAATCGTAAGGTAATGATGACGATGACGATGATGCTAATGATGATAGTGACCAAGACAGCGGTGATGATGATGATGATGATAGCAGAAGTAGCAGTAGCAGTAGCAGTAGCAGTAGCAGCGAAATTTTAACGCCCAAACCCAAAAAGAATAACCCTAGAGCAAAGACAGCAGAAACAACTCTCCCACCTATAGTCCCCTTCCTAAGACTTTGAAGAAGCTTGGCTCTTCAAGATACAAAATTGAAGAAGAAAACGGAATGGAGCACTTTTAAGGTCGAAGAATGCATATGCGTATGTTGAGTGCTTCTTTTCTCAAAGTATTTGTTGTGTATGAAATCAGTAAGTAAAAAGGATATTTCATACCCACATGCCTCCTTTTATAACAGACAAAACGCAAGCGACGAGCGAGCGAGAGAGCCCACCCGCAGTCCAGCCGTAATGCCTTTGCTCTGTTCGCGACGTATACATGCTCATCGTATACAGCATCTGTATACGTACGCTGGACAACTCAGCCCCTTGACCATCGGGGGTATAT